GCTTAGGAACAGGTGATGGAACCTCCTCTCCACTAGTACCACGCAATACCTCCATTAATCAGACTGCCAAGAAAATAGCACTACAGTGCATCAACAGAACGTTTAAAAACAAAATTTCATAAAATTGTTTCTAACAAAAAAAACACAAGATATTCCCAGACCCAACACATCTGGAGAGCATGGAACAACAGCTTAAGTTGAGCAAGCAACCGCTCATCCTCTTTGTTCTCTGAACTCAGATTCATCGTCTGCTTTTCTTCCATGGTAATCCGATCCCGCAAGCTTTAGAAACTCATATGCATCAGCTAAATTACTGATTCCTGTTAGCCAGCTCATTAACGGAGCTATAATTGATGCAGAGAAAGGTTTTCAAACTGTAACAGGGAAATGCAATGAACAAATCTTTTGTAAATGTATCAGGGACATTAACATCTAATTCATACGTATTTACTTATCTACTATCTAGATTTTTTATTTTTACATTTATACCACCCAAATTTTTTGTATTACATGGAAAATACCACCATGTTAACTTTTAAAAAGTGAAATACAGCTTTTCATGCATAGGTATGATAGCATTTAAGTAAAACTGGAAGTTTAGGTGTCAGATACGTAAAAACATAAGAATTGAGTGGTGCGTAGGTAAATATAGAAGTGTGGGTGTGAGAAATGTAAATCCATAAGAATAGAGTGCTATGCATGTAAATTTCCCTTAATACTAATGAATATGGAAACTCTTACCAGTAATTGTAAGCGGCCACCTACATGAACACCAGGAAGTGATTGCATGCAGGGCATTGGCATATGTTGAGGTATGGTAGGCGGCAGTTGTTGTACGTGATGTTTAAATGAAAGCTGCAGCCGGCCTTGGTGAAAAAAACACTTCACATTTCATAAAATTAAATGATGATTTCAACATTTCATTTATAAGACCAGTAATCAATATAAAAAACCAATACCCTTCACTTTTCATTTATAAGGCCTGTAATGAAGAAATGTCGAATGGCTGCACTTCACATAATTTAAACAAGTCTTACACTGAAATGCAACTGGAACCAGCAGTAATTCATAATCTTAAAATTATTTCATCTTCCTTCTCATTGCACATCTACTACTTCATACAAGTACATATTCTATTCCCCAATAAAATCAAAAAGTTAATTTAAAACTACATGTCTCTCATGAAGTAAGACATTTTCTTTACACAACTAATCTCAATTTTACGCAACCACACTCGCAATTATATGAAATTAGTAAAACATAAAGAATAATTCATATCAAGCTGCTCAAATACATAACTCTGCTATTCCTCCGTTATCTCTTCGCCAAAACTCATGTGTGAATGACAAAGTCACGTTGCTCCATTTATTCTTTATTCTTAATATTCAACGCAGCACTTTCAAGTATTATGCCAAAATAATTCCATTGTCTTGTGATTCCTGCTATGAAACCGATTTAGCACTATCGCTTACAATTCTAAATGTATTTGCATCTTACATGCAGTAAATGTCATTTTTCCACGAATTAAACTCCAAATAAAATATTTTTGTCTGGTAAAACAATGGTTGCTCTTGCTCTTGGCAAACTACTTCATATGATTGAAATTTTACTCAAAGATAAGGTAACCGAAATGCAGAGAATTGACCTTGTTTGAAAATTTGTAGGGCATATAGAACCGATGACAAGGAAGAAGGTAATACAAGCATTTCATAAACCACCTACCTTCATGACATTTTTTTAATGAAAAAAAAAGGCTTTCTTATAGGAAGAATCTACTTTTTAATAGAATTACTATGTACTATGCCTATGTGAAGAAACCTTAACTTTATGAATCTTATATGCCATTGCAAGAAACCCAGGGAAGAATCCAGCAAAGATGAAAATAAGGAGAATGGATTAAGAACTCAAAACTATACTTCATCCAAGGAACAAATTGGGAGAGTTTCTCACCATCTAGCAAAGCAAAATCTTAGACCAGATAAAGAATGGCTTTCACCAAAAACAGAGATGAAAGAAGACTCTCCAATTTAATTGATCACAAAGGCACTCATAAAATTAGACATTAAAAAAAATATTATGTAAAAAATTAGTTTCATGTCACCTATGCCTAAATGGGGCAAATCGTCGAACAATTCATGCTCAAGAGAAATACCCACATTTATATATACCTAATTAGATTACAGCTTGTCTTACTCCATAGAAAATCTGAACGGACTCATCGAACGAGGTTGATATAAACAGAAAGATGGACGTGAACAATTACCTGGTTTAAGATGATGATCTTCTTGCGTCGGAGCTGGCTGGTGGGTCTGGCCGCATTTTAGATGGAGGAGACTGAAAGCAGCGCCGCAAGCCAACCCATTGGTGATCTGCTTTCGCCGAAGCAGATTAGAGGGTGCGGCCGAGGGGGGGAGGAATTGGTTCCCGCGTGAATCCTTTGACGGAGAGGCAAAGGAAAGAGACGGGAGTTCCATATTCGTGCTTATTAAAAATTTTTTAGTGTGATATTCATAAATAAGAAGTTTTGAGTATGGAATATGTAATTAATGAGGTTTGAGTGCTATGTAAGTAAAAAAACGTAGAATTAAATGAAAATATGACCCTCATTAGGACACAATGAAGAAAAAAAATCATATAGCCAACCCCACTTAGTGAGATAAAGGTTCATTGTTGTTGTTGTTGATACTTAATTGCTTCTTTTAAGTTTGTGTTCACTAGCACTCTTTCATAACATCTTCATATTACTCATAGGTATGTATCTTCAATAATAATCAATATTCTAAACAACTCTTTTATTATTAATTATTAGTATTCTTAATCATAAAGGTTGGGCCAATTCTCTCATACTGGAAATCCCAAAACTATCTTTAGGCTAGCTAAAGCTTATTTACAGGTACGGTCCGACCTATACTCTACTCGGCATTGCTAGGAACCATTATGGGTTGTCTCAACTAAAGCACCACATAGGTCTCAGCTACCTTTAGAGTGGTGGATTGGTTGTGGTAAACCCATCAATCCATACCTAAAGATGCTTCTAGTTGTGTTCCTTCGAAAGGAGTTAAAAGAGATTAAGCTGTTTCGGGATGACCTGGTGTTCGATGGAGAACGGTAAATCACATTTAAAAGATTTACTAATCAAACTCCTTCGATATCTTTAGGATTAGTCAGGACTTGATAATTACGTTATGTAGACTAAAAGCATTAATTTCATTAATCTTATTCAAAGCTAAATTAGCTACACCATTTTTTTCTTTTAACAAAAGATAATACAAATCATGATCTTATTCATAGAACATTTCTTCCTTAGAAGATCATTTCGCAATGTTTCAAAATAATATCTTATAGATTATTGTCTTCACCTTTAACCGAGATCCAATATCTTCACTTCTAGTACACGTAAATCAAAATCTCACAATCCTATGTCTCTTCCTCAACTAATTCATAAATCTTTCTCATTAAACATTGCCTATCAATTATTTAAATCATCAGAAAGACAAAATATACTTTCACTTATAACTTCTATGCAAGATTGCTAGCTTCCTAATGAATTGTATATGCAGCAATAGCATTTATTTTTTACTCTTCTTGTAAAGCACAATTTTAACCATTAATAACATTTCTACCTCACTCAACCACCAAGTTTTCTAAATAGGATCTACTTTTAAAATTTCCTCTCCAAAAAAGTTTATAGCTATATTTCAAAATAAACTAAGCGATCAAATCTCAAATTAAGTATGGTGCACCTGTAGAATTTCAATTTGGCTCTCTTAACAATGATTTTAAGAGATTGCCAATACCCAAACCACAAAAAACTATAAGAAAATCAATGACTGCCTCCCCAAAAAATACAGCAAAATTAGTAAGCGGACATCCCTAAAGACTCGCTCACTTCCTAGTTCTTTACTAAAACCTGTAGAAGGTACAGTTGATTCTAGGCTTAGAATTGTTTAAGGATTCTCTAGAGGATCTGCTAAAGCTCGGAAATGTGTGATACCTACAAAAATTTCTGCCCCATATCAAATTATATAAAACTCATAGTTGACTTCAGAAATCACAACCTTCTCAAGGGTAGTGTGAAATGTGTGACCTAGAGCAACAGATATCTTTCCATAAACTCACATGACAAAGTGAGGTGTATTCAACGAGTAATACAAACAGATAGGTTTCCATCAACTTCCCTGACAGATTCAGGTGCATTCAACAAGTAATACAACAATTGTATAATAAGAAAACGGTGCATGATTATATAATACATACAGAAGTTGTATATACATAAAAGCTCGGATATTGTAAAATTTTCCAGTACTATCTAAAAGTTGCACATCCATGAACAATTTTTTAAACCATACTTTTCTAGATAGTTCTAAAAGTGCTTCATTAATCATAAAAGAAGATTAATTCATTCAAATATAATTTAAGTGATAAACATTTAACATAATTTTTACTTGGATAGCAAAAACAAACAAACAATTTGTAAGTGTCTAGAGTAACACCTTGTTCACAAATAAAAGAAAACTGTTGCAAACTATATGTTTGTTTAGAAAAGCATTACATAGGAAAATCATGCAATGATATCTTCTGCTGAAACTGATTTTTTTTTTGTATATTAAGCTCCAATAGACTATTTTTATACTGCAGAGAATCAGGCTTTCCAATAATATTTTATAATCACATGCTTCAGGCAAACAACAGATATAATGGAGCATCACAAAAATATATATATGGAGTGAAGAACTACCATTGCTAAGATGAATATCGAACATATGATGCCAGCCAAAGTTTTCCTTGCTGTTTTCACAAATTACGGTACATGCGTTGTATATTTACCATTACACGTTCTACATTCTAGAACTACAAAATTAAATCACCAACATAGCAAGTCTTTTTTGTTTGCACATTCAGATAACAAGAAAACTATTCACCTGGATGAATGGATAATACAGGTAATAAATATATATTCAAAGCAAGAATTTGCTAGGTTGTTTCTCCACATATCCGAATTTGTTTGAAAAAGACTTGTTTCTACCGATATCCAGTGGCATAATTAGATTACAATTCTAAAGAAAGCAGTAATCAGAGGTTACATCCTACATAATCAATATAATTAAAAAAAATATATCCTGGAAACAAGTTCAAGCATCATCACCCTCTAAGGCCTTAGGAGCGAAAGGATCATGTGTAGGACCCATGTCCGGCCCAATATGCCTCTGCACCAACCTTTGCAGGTCAGCCATAACCTTGTGCTCCCGCTTGGCCTTCTCCTCATAATTGAACATAGCCAGTGCCCTTTTATCCTCAGCACTGTATACTTGGTTTTCTTTCCTTATACGGATAGCATTCATCCTCTGGTGTCTGCTTCCACTCATCACATAGCCCAAGTTTTCAAATTTCTGAATCTCTTCAGCAGAAAGACCAACCTCTCCTCTCCTAGGAATACGCTTGCCTTGCTGTACATACTGGGCTATGGCATCTCCTTCTCCTGGCCGCAGAGCCCCTCCATAGCTTATGTGACCTTCTGCACGTGGAAGTGGCATAGGCCCAACAAGCGACTCACTGTCCAAGGCCTGTTTCTTCTGGAGTTCAATCATCTCCATGAATTTCACTGCTTCGGGATCAATCTCAGGTTTGTTAGCATCAGGAGCTCCGACGTTAGCATCCGATTCAAACATGTTCTCCAATTTGGACTGCCTATTTATCTTCTTCTTCTTTGAGGTTGTGGTCCTCTTCTTCCTAGCAGTAGGACTAGACTCAGAGTCAGAACTATCACTGTAATCCGATGTTACTTCCTTTCTTTTCTTCTTCCTACTACTTCTAGACGATCGTTTCCTAATGTTTCTAGAATGCACGCTTTCCTTTCTCCTCTCTCTTCGCTTCGCTGAACTCCTCTTCCTCCGCCTCGATTGATCATCTGAATCGCTCAAGTAATCAGAATAACTCCTTGAATCATAATCAGATGAAGCATCGCTATCAGTTTCACTAGCACTATCACTTGAAACTGAGTATCTTCGCCTCTGCGAGGTCCTTCCATTTCTTCTACTCCGGCTTTTTCGATGAGGACTCTCAGAACCGGACTCAGAATCGCCAGAAGAACGGCCGCCGCCATCAGAGCCTTCAGATCCAGACTCCTTCATCTTCCTCTTATCATCATCTGACGGAAGATCAGCACTCTGTCCGGGCTCTTCCTGCGGTGGCTCCGACAGCTCCCTTTCGCTACCTGGAGGGCTAGGCGTGACCTTCCATATACAGTTCTTAAGCTTTTTCCTGAGACGCTGCCGTTTGATCCGACGATATTCGAAATAGCTTAGGCCTTTCAGGTCCTCCTCCTCGGAGGAATTTTCGGACCGCCGTGAGATCGGCCGATCGTGATACGGTGACCATCTCCGTCGGCGGCGAGGCGAAGCCTCGGAAATTGGATTCCGGCGTGAGCGCCAGTCGTCAACGGCGTGGCGTGCAGGAGAGGGAGAAAGCCTGGAATTTTCTCGACCCATTGAGCAGCGACGACGGCTAGCCGGTGATCCCTTCGCCTAGGTATTATTAGGAAAAACAACAGTCCTGCCAGAATAATATAACTTTGGGATAATAACATACATAGCATTAAAAACATTGGTATTTATAAATTAAGTATTTAGGTAATTTTTTTAATAATGAACTCAACATATTTATTTGTGCCACCATCAAATTATTTTAAATTTTATAAAAAAAAATAATGATAGGGTATTTATCAAAACCTTTTGATATTTGAGTGGGAAATTAAAAATTAGTGCTTGATTTACAAATAGCAATATTTTAGGTGTCATGAATATAGGAATTTACAATTTGGGGTTTTTCGTCCCTTAGAACAGTATATATAACAAAACAAAGACTTAAACATTAAATATTTCACCATATATTCTAGGTTAATTTTAAGGGACAATTTTGTGCTAATATGTAAATATTTTATTTTTACATACTCCTAAGTTTCTAAATTTCATTTTAAGTTTTATGGGTTGAAATTGTCATTTTAGGATTTAATTTCACTGTCCTAAATTTTATTTTTAATTTTCATATTAATTTGGATTTTTCTAAGTTTTATTTTAATTTTTATTTTATTTTATTTTATTTGTAAAAAATTTGTCATATTAAGGCTAGGGAATCTCTCTGATTTTGGAAAATCAAGGAGGATTTTTTCTCAAAATTTTAGATTTTTCTACATTATAATAAATTTGTAATAATTAAAATACTCTATGGAGCATTTAATTAATTTAAAATTGAATATAAGTTAATTATTTCCAATTTTATTTTTATTATTTTCCCCCCTGTTACTTGAGTACAAAGCTATGTTTTATTTTATTTCTGTAATTTGTATCTCAAAGTTATGAATTTTTTAAGCTTTTTTATAAGTTTCTAGATTTATTTAATTTAGATAATCCAAGCTTACCGCATAATCCAGTCAATGTTGTGTCATCCTCGGGGCCTTCAAATTTTTGCATGGAACTCTGTGATTTGGTGCACTTTCTACGCGATTGTGGCGACGTCCCGCGGTCGGATGCTCCCCTCCCTGCAGTCTAATGATCTAGTTTAATCTCTGATGCGTGCTAGAAAATTCACGGTGGTAGAGTAATAGTTAGAAAATTCATGGCGGTAGAGTAATAGATTATCATATTAGCGTTGCACGAGAATTCATAATTCAACACACACTTAGATGAAAGAGAAACAGCTTGTGATGACACCAAAAGTTCTTATGTGAAAAACTCATAAAGGAAAAAAACCACGGAGTCTGGGCCAGTTATAAAAATACACTATAAGTTGATGATTACAGATGACTCTTGTCCCACAGACGGGAAAATGTTACTAGATTTTCTAAGTTATAATATCGACTAACGGCGTCTGGTCAGCAGTGGTCGACGGAGTTCAGTGTTGTTCCTTGATGGTCGATGGTGGTCGACGGCGATCGACGATGGCAGGAATAATGTATATATGTGCATACTTTTTTTTCTTTTAAGAGTATAAAACAGGTTAGATTCTTTCCATCATGCTCTATGTTGTCATTGTGCGCCGCCTTTCATATATGGGGTGTGACACAAATAAACACGAAATTTTGGCTCAGGTTCGGGCTAGCGGGTCAAGCTCAAGTTCAAAACGGATTTATGTCTTAGTTTTCGACCCGTTTATTATTCAGATCTAATTTGGGTTGACCCTATTTGGGTCGTGTCATTTTTGGGTTAGACTCGACCCGTTGAACCGAAGTAACACCCCTAATCAGGAGGGGCGGGGCGGCTACCAGGCTTGGTGGCTACTGGGTCGGGTGACAGTTAGGTTGGGCGGCTGCTAGGCAGGGCGACAGTTAGGCATGGCAACTACTAGTCGGGCAGCCACTAGACTGGATGGCTACAAGGTCCGGCGGCAGCATGCTAGATTGATGCAAACTACTTTGGAAATGACTGTCTATTTTGCCCATTTGGTTTGTCCTGGGTGAAGGGCTCTAGATTCATCCACATGAGCCTGATCAGGTAGACTTTTTGGGAGTTGTTCTCATCTTATTTGTCTGAGAGGTATTGCCCTTCTAGTACGTGACAGTCAACTGATTATGCACTCAATTTTGAATTGTGCTTAGAGGGTCTGCGATGCTGTGACACATTTTCCCCTGATCATTAGATATCTTTAAGATTCATGTGGACACATTTTTAGTGTACAAATATATAAAGAAATTAAATTTTGTATTATATTTATGTTAAAATTAATTTAATAATTTTAAAATCTATTTTTTTCTTCAAGAGCCCAAATTTGATGCCCCCTAAACCCTGTGATATGAAATTGGAAGATTTAGATACGTAACCCTCAATTCTTATCTATTTGCCAATTTCATACCTAGATACTAATTTTACATAATTATCATTATTTATGCATAAAAATATATTTTTTAACTTTTAAAAATTAAAATAAGGATAAGTTTTTATGTGACATAGAACATATGAGCGGTATAAAGATAAAAAAAATTAATATTTTTAGTATTACATATGTATTTACATAAGAAATTGGGTGGTATGCATGTGAATGCCCCGAACCAGAATAATAATCCCTCATCCTCCAGCCTACCCTAGCGCCAGCTCAATCCAACCGGCAGCGGCGATGGCAGCGGCGGCTGCAGCGATGACTGCCATTCTCAGGCCTTCCAATCCTCATTTCATCTACCCTAAGCATCGTCTCAGTCCGCGTTTTTATCGACTTTGTAGTTCCTCGTTGACCTCATCACAGCTCGCCATCCCCAATGTTATTGACATCCTCCGTGAGCGCGGCCTTGTGGAATCATTAACCAGCGAAAACCTCCGATCGGCTTGCTCTAATCCCAACAGTACCCCTGTCAAAGTTTACTGCGGCTTCGACCCGACTGCAGAAAGCTTGCATCTTGGTAACCTAATCGGAATAATCGTTCTGCATTGGTTCCGGCGATGTGGCCACAAGACCGTTGCCCTTATCGGCGGCGCCACTGGCCGGATCGGTGACCCCTCAGGGAAAAGCTTAGAGAGGCCGGAATTGGGCGTGCAGACCATAGAGAATAACAGCGCGGAAATTAGGGCTCAACTCTATAGAATTCTTCACAGAGCTAACAAAGAGATGGGGTTAAAAAGAGGTTGCCCAAACGATGAAATTCTGAGCTTACATCCTAAAGATTTGGGTGATTCTTTTTTGGTTCTGGATAATTTCGACTGGTGGAAGGAAATTAAGTGCAAGGATTTTCTTAGAGAAGTGGGGGGATATGTCAGGGTTGGAACTATGACGGCGAAGGAGAGTGTGAAGAAGAGGCTGATGTCTGAGGAGGGGCTTAGTTTCACTGAGTTTTCCTATCAGTTATTTCAAGGTTATGATTTTTGTCACATGTTTAAGAATATGGCTGTAAATGTTCAGATAGGTGGAACCGATCAATGGGGAAATATCACTGTTGGAACTGAGTTTATCCGTAAGATTTTGCGGGTCGAAGGTGCCTATGGACTTACGTTCCCACTTTTGCTAAAAAGTGATGGATCAAAGTTTGGGAAATCTGAAGGTGGTGCCATTTGGTTGTCTCCTGCAATGTTGTCACCTTGTAAGTTCTATCAATACCTTTTCTCTGTGTCCGATTTGGATGTTGTGAGATTTTTGAAGGTTTTAACCTTCTTAGACTTGGAGGAGATTCAAGAGTTGGAGGAAAGTATGAAGAAGCCTGATTATGTTCCCAATTCGGTTCAAAGGAGGCTTGCAGAAGAAGTAACACGCTTTGTTCATGGTGAAGCAGCACTTGTCGAAGCAGTGAAGGAAACAGAGGCGGATGACGTCTTTATTTGATAATATTTGGTTTTTCCCCAACCTCACTTACGACTTACTATCTACCTTATAAAAACCGCGAGCCCCGACTTTCTGGTTATGTTTTCTGTGGTTTACCTTTCGTTCGTGAAACGGCCCCCAAGGTGCCTGGTTCATCTCCTCACTCTCGTTGGCACCCTATGCGTCCGCGGCTCCTCTTCGCCAGACGACCCCAAGCGCAGCCGCTCTTCTGTTTTCTACTCACGCCGAACGCCGATCTAGGTGGAGCCTTTCCCAGAAGACTACAAACTCTAGGAAAAAATATTATGTTTGGACAGCCAACAGCCACCCAACACCGACGTGTACGGCGACGACGATTAGCCGGTGCAGTCGTGCGGTGTGGAGGTAAAATTTTCTCTTACTCTAGCCACCTATCTCCTATTCTCTCCTCAAACCGAATGTCAGCCACCTAATGTATGCGTTTCTGATGTCTATAGGCGGAGAAAGTAAATGTTTAATAAGTGTCACTTATTATTGCGGGGTGTCATTGAGAGTCATTGAGAGGACCTTTGAAGTTTGGAAGAAAAAATAGGTTATTCTATGAGATATGTTGGCCTATTCTTTCGAAAAACATGTTAAAACTATTGCAACAACAATGAAGTTGCATGATTACATACAACACCATCATTCACATTTTAATGTTGACTTTGCAAGTGTAGGTGAAAACGAATCAGTGCCTTCTGAAGTATATGAATGTCAGTTGGGGCTAGGTATATATTAGGTAGTTGTTGAGATGAGATTTGTAGGTTTGAAATATGTAATTTTGGTGTTGATGTTAATTAAAATACTTTACAGGAGAAAAAAATTATGAAATAAGATGTACTAAGAGACAAGGTATATATTAGGCAGTTGACTAAAGTGTTACCGATAATGATTCCAAATCCTAAGCTTGTTAGTCGGATTTGTTTCTTCTTTGGTAGAACCGAAGAGGTACATGTACAAGGCTTATATTTATATGATTTAGGTTCAATAAATATCAATATAAAAGATATCATCCAACTTTTCTTAAATTGGGAATTCTCTGTGAAGAAACTATGAGTTTCATCAAAAGTGATATTTATTAAAAAGAAAATTATTTTTAGAGGTAGATGTTAATGCTTATATACTTTTTGTGTGGTCGAATTTTAAATGAATACGCACTTGAGAGCTTTTGGATTAAATTTTCTTCTATGATATTTATGAATATAAACACAAACAATTGATTTAAAAATTGTGGGAGTAATCTTTGAGAAGCTATTTCTATGAAAAAAACTCTCAAATATTTTAGAAGGCTTTTTTAATTAATTATTCAGAGGGAATTTTATTGATTAAATAGATAGTTGTTAGAACATTATCTCTCCAATATTATTTTAGTGTGATTGCTGGGAGAAGTGTTAGTTATCCCTAAAAGGTGTCAATTTTCTCTTTTGATCAAAATATGAATATTGGTGGATGATACTCTCTTTTTAAGATAATGACACTAATGTGTGATTAAAATAATCACGGGTATGATCAAATTGAAAAAAAAAAAATTTTGAATTGACACTTTACCTTGGCAGTTAAGATATAATGTATAATGCTGACATCAAATTTATTTTGGTAGATATACCCATGCTATTTCAATACAGTCATCAATAAATGTAACAAAAGAGGGTTCTCAGATATCAAAATGAATTAATGTGCAATGATAAGAGGATCTAAACTTATTTTCAAAAAAGGAAATATATTGATATTTAGCAATTTTACATATTTTATATTAACAATTTTTAATGTTTGTATTTATGAAAAGAGAAAAAATATACATTGCATATTTTTAAAAGAATGATGCCCTAATCTCTAATGGTGTCCTCAGATGATATTGATGGTGTGAGAGGTGAAGGGGTAAGATAGCTGATATCAATCTTCATGAAAGTATAACCCATTTATTTCTTTTTTCTCTTGCTTGTTCAATCTTCTTCCCTATAGTGTGAAACCTGAAAAACACAATATATAGTAAAAAAGATTCTTTTGTAGCTACAATTTTTGATAAATTTGTTTGTCAATAAAATGCTTATTTTATGATGTGAAGCATATAATATGCTATTGAGGGTTAAGTTGGAGAAATTAAGATGTCTTTGTGTCCTGTAACAATTGATAAAGATTATTATATATTATTGAGATGAGATTTGTAAGTTTGAAATATTTTGTCAATATTTCTTATGTGGTCAATGGTTCCTCAATGTTCCATTAAGGAAAAAAGAATTATTAGATGCACTAAAATATAATAAATTAGAAATCATACTATTTTGTGTCAAGAAAGCAAGATCCTGATGACTTTTTATTGAGCAAATTCTTAAATTTGTCAATTTCATCTAAATTGAGTCATTTTAGCTTCACTAGCCGAACCTGTTATTTAATTTTTTGTCTTTAATTTCTTCATATGCTTGGGTTTTTCCATAGATTTTAGTATTTGTTTTTAAGGATCATCACATACTCACAATAGAATATTTTGAGATTTAGGTAGTACCATGGTAGTCCAACTCCAACTGATAAATCTTCATGGCATTAAATTATTCAATCATGAAAATATTACCTTCTTTGATAGTATTGAGTTTTATTCTTATTTCAGAGATGAATGCATCTTTCATCTTTGAGTAAGTCTTTCTAATTGCATCCCTTATTTTTTATTTTATTTATTATTTGTTTATTTTTTGTGGAGAGGAATATAAAAGACCCACAAATCCTGAGTAACACGATGTTCTATAACCATAACATGATCATGAAACCAATTTATTGTTAAGGTAAGTGCTTATGGTCTTTGGGCTCTAGAGATATATTCATAAGATGTTTGATTTTTCTCCTTTAGCTGTGGAAAGGTTTTTAGGGTTCGGGGGCAATTGTTTTCTGTGTAAGTGATAAGATGCTTGAAATACTTGAACTTCTTCTTTGTTATGATTTTCACCATCAACCTTGGTTGACTTTTTTGAAGAGAAGTCAAATAACCTAGGCATTGTGACTAAAAGAAGTATTGACAAGAAAGATAAAGTTGAAAATGGAAACCCTAACGTGGAGAATGAGAAGAAAGGCTTTAATTTATCTTTGTTACCATGTAGAAATTAAAGCAAGGAATAAAACAATTAATAATTTTATATATTTTTGTTTGTAGTAGAGGGGAAAAAATATATACATCTCCAATAGGAATAAATCAAATAAGCCGGGGAAAATAATTAAGGTCCAATGATCTTATAGGAAAGCATACGGATTGCAATCCAATGATCATAGAGGAACAAATCCAACAATAAACCTAAATTTGTGTCCTAAATTATTTACTATGATTGGAGAGTGAGTGGGCTCATTTTAGCACGGGTGTACTATAGCAAGGTATTGTAGTAAAATTTCAGCAATCATTGACATTTTATTATTTGGTTTTTTATATTTTGTTATTTAATATTTAAAAATGATATTAAAATTTTTATAGGGTTGGGCTTTGTGCATTTGCTGGTCATGGGTGATAAGAACTCGTCTTTTTTCATAATGGATGTTACTTACCTCAATGCTCTAGGCTAATGAAATATATTACTTTTCTTGCTAATTATAAAGTCATTGTATTTATTGGTGAGCTAAGAAAGTTAATTCAATTTTTTTTCTTTAATAAGCTTTCATCTTTTTTATTAATTCCCCAAAATTAGGAGTTTGATTTCCTGCAAATGAAAGTACACATGATAATAAACCTTTCATTGCATGTGGTATAAAAATTTGAACTAGAATCTGCTCTTTTCTACGGCTCCCAATATAGAATAAAATGTTCCAATCAAAACTCTTATTTAACTCTCTAATTAATGTGAAATACAGGCAGTTGAATCATCATGCACAGGATAAAAAGCGAGTTGAGGAATCCATTTAGCTTAACGTCAGAACTTCTATTAAGTTGAGTGATTGCAATGAAGTGTTTTTTACTGCCTTATTTTGACTCTTATTCTTATAAATTTTATTCTTCTGGTTTTTTACTTTTGTATAGCAATGCAATGACCATTTCTTTCGTTTTCTTCTTTAGAGTTTTCAAGACTAATGGTTATGATGACCTGTAATAGTCATCTTCCTTGAAGCATTAAACTTGTGCATTGGTAACATGTATGTTTACACAGCCTATATGAAATTGGGAAGTATTGCATACATGCTATTTTGGTGCATGAGAATGGAGAAAATGTAAGAGAAAGCTGCAGCACAGCTAGGTACAAAGTGACCTTACGCCTTTATTTTGCTAGAATAAAATTTGAGGTTCGATACTTTTCATAAGATCAAGCTCCTATGTCGGGTTTTCCTCCCTATAGTAAGGGAGCACTTTCAATTGAGGCTGGTCATTGTGCACTAAGTATTTATGCTTAGCATATTTTAACAATATATTCGTGTATTGGAATCATGAAATTATCACTGCAAGTTTAAATATAATGGTCTGGAAAATAATGATAAACTCGATAAAGGTCTTATGATTTTATCATCTCAGTTTATCATAGTTTCTGGTCTATTTAGTTAAAAGAAGTAATCCACTCAGCTTGACATAATGATCTTTGTTGGTAGTTATGGATTGCTTCGGCGAGAGAAATTTTGTAGACTTGCTTGGGTAGGTATCGATAGACAATTGTTATCTTAAGCAACGTATGAAAGGAAAAGGAGTTCATGATGGGCTCATTGGGGATGAGCATTGATGGATTAATAACATCATGTGAAAGAAGAGAGGAATTCATGATGAAGCAGCTAAAGGTATGTGTTGTGTAATGTGTGAAGGACAATCATAGCTTGAATTCATAATAATATAAATAAAATATATTTTAACTTTTGATATTTAAGAATAGTGCATTTAACAATTAGAATTTAAATATATTTTCCAAATATTCTTTGGTTAAAAGGACAATAATTTGTTGAATATATATATTAAATGACAAATTAGTTTAAATTGATTAAATCAAATTAATATTTTTTAAATATTACAATTTCCTCGGCTATAAAATAATTTAGGTTAGAAAGGAATTTAAAATAGTAATTTTAAAAATAATATATAACTAATTAATTAAAATTTATAGAGTTCGCCTAAAATATTAAATATAATTAATTTGAAATTCATTTCGATTGATTTATGTACATGCCACTCAATTCCTATATCTTTACGTTTATAACACAAATTTTAATTTTTATTGTTTATGTACACGCCATATAATCTATGCAGGGACATGTATATTTCATCTTTAGAAGTTGAAATAGTATTATTTTTAATGTGATACAAAAGATTTTGATTATACAAATATAAAAAGTAAAGGATATAAATACATAAAAATTAGGTGATAGGCATGTAAGTATCTAAAATTTACATTAATGAATTGTAATCAATTATTTTCTTTTAAAAATAATTTAAATGTATATAAAATGATATTTTTTTTCAAAAAAATAAAACTACTTTAATTTATAAAAAAATTTATGGGTATGGCTTGCGGATGTTAGTGTTGGGCATATCTTTCTGAAATAAAAGAATACCTTCATCAAAATTTAATTATATATATATATATTATATATATATATATATATATATATATCATAAATTAAAATTTATATTATATCTATGCTTAAATTAATTCAATAAATTTAAATTCGGACCCTTCTTCTCCTACAGCGGACAATTCATCCCTTCAAATAAAAATCCCAGATGTGATGTACAAGTGAACCAGGGGAACACTCGTTATCTGCAACCCCTTACTATTGGCCCAATCTACAGCTATGGCAGCGGCAGCCGCAGTGTTGACGGCGCTTTTTAGGCCTTCTACTGCTCAATTCCTCTACTCTAAGCATCGTCTCTGTCCCCGTTTTTCTCGACTTTGCTGTTCCTCGTTGGCCTCATCACAGTTTGCCATCCCCAACGTCGTCGACATCCTCCGTGAGCGCGGTCTTGTGGATTCGATAACTAGCCACAATCTCAAATCGGCTTGCTCTATTCCCAACAATACACCTCTTAAAGTTTGCTGCACCTTTGATGCGACTGCGGGAAGCTTGCATCTAGAAAACCTAATCGGGCTAATCGTTCTCGCATGGTTCCGACGATGCGGCCACCAGACCGTTGCGCTTCTTTGTGACCCCATTGGCCGGATCGGTGACCCCTCGGGGAAAAGCCTAGAGAGGCCGGAATTGGGCGTCGAGACCCTAGAGATAAAAAGCGCTGAAATTAGGGATTTGGTCTATAGAATTCTTCATAGAGCTAACAAGGAGATTGAGTTGAAAATGGGTTGTTCAAAAGATGAAATTTTGAACTCAGATTCTGAAGATTCGGGCAATTTATTGGTTCTGAATGATGACTGGTGGAAGGAAATTACGTTTCTGGATTTTGTTCTTGAAGTGGGGAGATATGCTAGGGTTGGAACAATGATGGCAAAGGAGAGTCTGAAGAAGTTGCTGATGTCTGAGGATGGTTTAAGTTATACTGAGTTTACCTATCAACTACTTCAAGCTTATGATTTTTTTTATATGTTTAAGAATATGGGTGTAAATGTTCAGATAGGTGGGAGGGATCAGTGGGAAAATATTGTTGCCGGAACTGAGCTCATCCGGAAGATTTTGCGGGTGGAAGGCGCCCATGGATTGGCTTTCCCTTTATTGCTGAAGAGTGATGGGTCTAAATTTGGGAAATCTGAAGATGGTGTCATTTGGTTGTCGCCTGCTATGTTGTCACCTTATAAATTTTATCAATACTTCTTTTCGGTACCCGATGTGGATGTTGTGAGGTTTCTGAAGATTCTAACCTTCTTGAACTTGGAGGAGATTCATGAGTTGGAGGATGCCATGAAGAGGCCTGGCTATGTTCCGAATTCGGCCCAGAGGAGACTTGCAGAAGAAGTAACACGCTTTGTTCATGGCAAAGAAGGACTTGTCGAAGCAGTGAATGCAACAAAGGCTTTAATGTCAGGGGCAGAGACGGAGTTAGACCCAAATACCATTGAAGGAATAGTGAAGGATGTTCCTTCATGCTCCTTACCATATGATCGGGTGTTGAACTCATTGCTAGTTGAGATATCTGTCATTTCTGGTTTTCTTGGCAGTAAGTCTGCCGCACGGCGATTGCTGAAGCAAGGAGGGCTCTATCTGAATAACAAGAGAGTTGACCATGAGGGTAAGAGAATCGAGGAATTTGATATTGTGAGTGGAAAATTAATGTTGTTGTCTGCAGGGAAAAAGAAAAAGATGGTAATAAAGATATCCTAATTTTATTCCGACTAATTGTAGCCAACCCCATGTAAGTTAATGATATTTTTTTAGCATGTTACAAAATATATAATGTTCATTGTTTTTTTTACTTGTGACTTGTCATGCCCTATATCATGTGCTGCGTTTATAAAAACAAGCACACTGGCTGGGCACGCGATGAAATTATGATATCATCTTACATGCATCTTTTCGTGGAACTGTTTCTATCATAACTTTTATGACAGCACATTCAAATTTATATAGAATAGCCAAACTAATTCATCTTTATAAAATAATATTTGATTTTGGTTTAGTACTTGGAGTCACTTTTTTATTTTGCTCAATCTACTCTGAACTTATATATTTATTTAAGATATCATTCTTTTTTATAATAGCTCCAATATAGTTAAATCTGTCACATTTTGTTAATACTTATTTTTCTAGTAATATTGAGTGATAGCTATTATTTCCACACTTCTTAATTTGCATATGATTTAATTGATCTTTGTTCTACTAAATGCTAAATCAATATCTTCTTAAAATTTCAGCGGTAAAAAATTTCACTTATTTAGCAAAAACCTTACCTATTAAAATTATGTCATTTAGAAAATCGTATGTACCAACAAATCTCACTTAATATGCCCTTTGTAAGCATCTTCCTAACACGTGCAAAAAAGATTCAATTTCATATTGTATTCTGTTAAATTTTACTTTGATTAGGAACACTTATGTATTATTATGTACAGTTTTAATAACTAACTTAATTTTGACATGCATCTTATTTTCTTAATCTTCATAATTTAATCCTTGAAATTCTTTCTCACAACCAATAAAAGCTGCATTGAAATATTTTCTTAGCCCTGTATAATGTTGCATTGATTTTCTTAGCTTAAATGCTTTCTCCATTAGTAAATCTTACTATATAAACTCATATTAATTCTGCTATGATAATATGATTATTAAAACCTATCTTCCATCACAGACTTGTATAGCTTCATTTTATGTCGTAAACCTGATTCAAAATAAACTTCTTATATACTAGTAACAAAAATGCTTGTTGTCCCTTTATTCAAGTAGTCTTAAGGATTTCAGTGGCTTAATGTTTTGCCTCTATTTTTGTTTTTAGGAGCTAACTCAACTTCATTTTTTAAACCAAACTGTATTATACTTCATGCTTTTTTTTATATATTATACTCCATATTTTTGTATTTGATGCTCTTCCAAAAAGATTTTTCACTTAAAGCTCTTTCATTTTTTAATTTTTCAAAAATAGATTATTCATTTTTTCATGTTTTCCTCTTGTAAGATTTTCATTTCATTCTTATTTGATTAACTCTCTGGATTTCCTATTTATTACTTCGTTATTTTATATGTTGAGAGATTTGACTTTACGAGAACACCTACTTATTTTAGAAAGATTGCGAGACCACCTACCATGATAATTGTGAGGACACCTACTTATTTCAGAAAGATGATGGGAGGATCTCATTGCTGCTTTATTCAAAAGGAACTTGTTAGTACTTATGAAAAAAATGATGGTTTTTAATTTGATGTTTTAACGCTCCATGTGGAAAAGAGAGATTGCTTAGGTCATGGCTGTCTTGAAAAAAATCCTGAAGATGAATTTCTTTTTGAGAAGATTCATCCCATGCTATAGTAATATTAATGTATCCTTCTACTCGAAATTCTCACTTGTTTGCCTATTACTTGTGATGTCTAACATGCCATCAAAGTCATTTTTGGAGTAATCATTCTATATCAACCCATTTACTTAATGAGTCCTGAGGAACATGAGGAGCCACAATGATAAGGTAGTGAGCTGATGGCTAATATGTTGCTAAGCTAAAGCGTGACTCCACATGCAGTCCCCACTCAGCTCATGCCTAAGAGAGACAAAGTATAATGTTATGTGCATTGATATTGGAGTAATCATTCTATATCAACCCATTTACTTCATGAGTCCTAAGGAATGGAACAAAAGGAGCTACATTCACGAGTTAGTGAGCTGATGGCTAATATGTTGGTAGGATAAACAGTGGCGCCATGTGCAGTCCCCACTCAACTCATGCCTAAGAGAGAGAAAAGAAAATATGTGCACGATAATGGAGCGAACAACAAGTTGCTGATTAAATATTAAATTTTAATTCTATGATGATCGCTCAACCAATTTTATGGATGATCCATCTTCTAAGGGTTGATTTATGGAGTGAATATCACCATATTTGTATGAAACTTGGCAATGAGTGAAAAGTATCATTCAAAACAAGATGTGTTTTTTAGCGGTGGACGATTATGCTTTTCCAACTTTCCAATGTGCCCAACACTTTTATGCTAATTATGAATCAAATCTTCCGACCTTTTATCAACAATTTATTGTGGTCTATTTTGACACTATAGCCATAACCTTGACAAACATCTATAATACCTCTAACAAATTTTGAACACCTACCAGAAAGAAAGCTATATGCCAATTTCAATAAGTTTCATTCTCTTACAAACAAGGTAAATTTCCCTAGCTATATCATCTCTCATGCTTGTGTAAAGATGGATAATTGAAAAGTTTAAAGGATCCTTAAGAAACCAATCGCAACGGCTTTCTCTAAAGCGATTAATTTTCTTTGTTTGTTTTTTTCGATATTTCATCAAACATTTCAACTCCATAACTTTGTTGATAATTTAAGCTATTGAAACAAGTTATATTCATTTAGGGTCTGTTCAGGGCAACTGCAGTGGTTTGAAGAAGCAATTGTGAGCAGCTACAGAAGCTGTTGTTTAAAAATCTACGTTGATTATTATAAATCTATTTTAATTTCAAAAAATCAGACTATAACTTTCTTGCAGCCACAACACTTTAACATATTAGGTTGAAGAAAACAATTTTCTACCACATAAATTTTTAGAAAGAGGCAAGAAAGCAGTTCCCTAAACAGAGTTGCGGTGACAGCCTGAAAAGCAAAGTAGCCACAAAGCTGTCCCAAACAGACCGTTAGGGTCATTTTGGAGCGGCGGTGCGGTGGCAGTGCGACACTGCATTTGTCTGTTTGTGTAAACTGTGTTTTGACAGTTTTTTCAAAAAGCTGTTGCTGAAATCTACATTTTCCCACCGGTCCTGGTGGTAACTTTCTAGCTGCAACTAGCTGAGCCTGAATTTTTTTTTAAAAAAAAAGAATTGTAATTGCCACCGCAACTTTTTGAACATCAGATTCTTTTTCGGCAGCTTCATTACTGTTTTTTAATAAGCTACAACTGCCTAGGTCTCCAAAATTTTCAGGCAATTTTTGAAATCCCAAAGTAATGGATTATTAAATCGTAGGAATGGTTCTCCCCAATTTGGACAAGGGCAATGAGGCGGAGTTTGATGCCTCCAATTTGGACATTGTTGTTGTGTTAACTAAAGGAGGACAACCTATTACATTTCTTAGTGAAATTATTCTACATTTAATCAGTTCTATGTTATAGGATGAGCACTAAAAATTTGGGTTATTACTTATGTTTAATGGGGTATTTATTTTCTTTGCTTGTTGCTTAATTACTTGCATGGTCACAAACAAGTTGAAGGGGCACCATACTATTTTGGTCCAAATCTCATTCATCATTTTATTATATGTTGAAGCATAACTTAGGAGCTCTTAACAAGGCGGCGATTGCATTATTTGATGATATTTTCTACTCACAACAGCTCAAGTAATGGTGGTTGGATTTGAAGTTCTAAATGAGCTCAATCAGAAAGGAGTGATCCCTATTTTGCCAATAAGGCCATGCCATATGAAAAAAGTATGTAAGAAGATTTAAGCTCTTGTGTTGTGCAACCCTAACCTCATTAAGAGTGTGTTTGGCGGGCTGATGGCGGTGCGGTGCGGTTTGGACCGCACCTTTGGGGCATTTGGGGAAACATCATTTTGCCTACTTTCTCAAGAAGTTGTGGCGAAAAATTGCATTTTATAACCCGACCTTTGTTAAGTGCAATGTTTGCTAAAAAGCATCTGAATTTTTGAAATAAAAAAAAAATTGTAAGAGTCACTGCAACTTATTGAACAATAACTTCTTCTGCAATTACTTTACAACTGCTTCGTCAAATAATCGCTACTGCCCCAAGCAGACCCCGAAGACTCCACATTCTCCTTACTTCTTGACCTTGTCTTTGACTTGCTTCTTTTCAAGTTATCCAAAATCACCATTTTACTTCCTAAAATCTTTTTTCTGTTTACTTTAAACCAAATTTGGATCCCGACTTGTGGATGCTATACTATTTTATTATTATATTTAGAACTACAAAGGTTTATTATTTTCTTATATACATATGTTTTTTCACTAATTGTTTGATACTTTTATTAAATAAAATGGGTAATGACTTGTATGGTTCATGAAGAAACTTCTGTTCTTTAAAGAGTGAGTTCTAATTATATACAATCATTTGGAGGAATCTAGATCAAAAGAGGGAGGAGGGCATAGCCTCCTTAATATGTACAACCTTTGCACAGTGGTGGGCAAGGGCCTCCTTTGCACAGTTTTATCCCTATTTCCAGCTACAACTACAAGCATGTGTATGCCATAATAAAAGAATATAAATATCTACAAACATTGGAATAGGCAAATAATCAAGTAGGATGCTAAATATGTGTGTGTGGTGGGTTGGTCTATGGAGCCTTACCTTACCTTTATAGTTGCTGATATATTGATTCTTTCTTTTGGAGCTTTGATCTCCAGATTATTTGAAAGGTTCTACACATCAAAACTTACAATTATCTTCTAATGAAATGAAAATTATCCTTTTATAAAATATAGATCCATTTGATTGAAATTATAATGATATAAAAGTTCTTAAAGTTATGCATTTTCTAATTTTACTAGTAAAGAGATGGGTGATTTAGATCTTACATTTGAAGCTCATGGGCCCCTATGAAAATTGTAACTGAAATTATACAAAACACAAAATTTCAGTTGGCCAAAACTCTTGGTTCAGCAAAAAACTTCTCTAGTAGCATTTGGAGGGACTTGACATGGAAATAACCTCTTAAATTTCACATTTCTGAAAGTGAGTGATAATTC